GCAATGGATAGCCGTCACGGTTTTCGAACTCGATGAGTAGAAATCAAAGTGGTATTCTGTGTTGCTAGCTATTTAACTGCTCGGAAATACCTGAATCGTGTGAGAGGTAATTTGGTAAACTAGGCCTTCGCAAACGAGGACATGTATTTCTTGATTATATTAAAGTACTGCCAGATGGAATGATGATGGTTAAGTAAGGCGATGAGCCTCAGAGACCGCGATCTGAGGGATATAAAAACGTCAAGCTTCATAAAAGTTAGATACCAAAGAGGATGCTGCTTTACTATCTGTGGTTATATCAAAAACGGTTCATTTGAATTACCTTGAAGTTGTACGATACAAGGCTGTATTTCGAACACAAGTATGTGGCGATTTCTTGACCGGATATTCTTTCTTGGTCATCAAGTGAGCTAATGGAGAATTACATCAATCGAATAAATCAAGATTCAAACTACTTCACCCTTATGGCGTTGATTGTTTGGAACCAATTGGAACAAAATGTTGATTATTAAAAATTGCTGTTTTTTGCGGAAGTTTTATCAATATATTTTTTTTTGTTTATTTTATGGAACGCGTAATGAGATATTTTTTCACTGATACGGTACGGGCCAAACATGCAAATTAACTAAAGTGAAGCGGTGTTGCTGTCAGTTAAACATAATTCCTTCCGCTGTAGATCTTTAATTCTCGACAATAGCCAGACGGCATGCATTGGTTGGATGCATTTTAATCATTTTATTACTCAACATTTGGTCGAATTCGGTATACAAACGTGTACTTTGTGTTACTTAAAGTTGTTAGATTTTCAGATGCCCGTTTGGGGATCAATATAAGGATTGCAAAGGAGCGTTCAAGTGTTGTTGGCTGAGGCGCCTTTCCAGATATATGGATTGATATACATGAAAACAACCCCAGTGTGCATGTATGGATATACATTCATTTATATCAATCGAAAATGATTTGTGAGTGGATGATCGATACTTCCTTCATTGAATTGATTCATAACGTTGTCCAGTTACTTTGAGTTCCATATGGGCCGTGTGTGTTGATTTTCTGTAAAATCAAAATCAGATTGTTTCAATACTCGTGTTAATCATACAAGCGAAAAGTGTACAGAAAAGTCATGCAAAGTAAATTCATCATATGAACATAGAACAAATTACATTACGCAACTCATTATAATCTGCCGGTGATAAGAAGTGCAAGGAGCCCAAAATTTAGGAATACTGGAGGATTTGATGTTGCTACACCGTCTGGAATCGAGCAGGATGTGAAAGAAAAAAATAGTCCGATTAGGAGAACAAAATGAATGCAGAAAAGTACAGTTTGAGCAGTCGTTTGTTTTAAGAAACAATTGACATGTTCAATACAGTCGCTGCTCTCTGATACTCACCTATTACCTAGTACACGATAACGTCGTTAGATCAATTGGTCTCCGAATTATCCCTCGCTTTCCTCAAAAGCGCACGGCTGGGAACAACTTTTGCGTTGTCTCCTTTTTTATGTTTGCCACCATTTTCTTCAGGTGCCATTGGATGTGTAACTACTGGAGGCTTTTGTGGCGCTGGTTCTTTCTCACCAGCATCCGTCGGTTGTTTCACATCAGATGAATTTGTAGGTTGCGTGGTTGGTTCTGACGGTACTCCAGTTGGTTTAATCGTTGTAGTCTCTGAACTAGTCGTGTTGTCATCCGCACTCACTTCAATCGGTGAGCTCGATATAAACTGATTCGTTACACCTAATGGACACAGTGTTTCCGATTTCGCGTCACTGGAAACCTTCACACATTTGGTTCCACTCGTCGCCTGTAAGCAAAGGAAATGTTTCGGAAAGATTAACAATATTTTCTTTTCACTGTCACTATAAATTCATCTGAATTATTGTTCACTTACATTAACATACACTTTCACCGCTTTGCCGGAATCCGATATGACACGGTATTGACAGCCAGTGCCACTGCCTAATACGGTGACCTTCTGTACTTCATTCGATGGGACAACTTCTTTACAACTCTGTTTATCTTGTGCTGGTGATATAAAATAAGTTTCTCCAACAGCTGGTTACTTACCAACAATCACGCTAATACACCCAGTGATCAGTAATTTTTTCACGATAGTTGAATTCATCTTCTCTGAGTTGCTATTTGCTGGTAACTGCTGACTTCCATATTGTGCTCCATATACATCTCCCGGTAGGATACTGCTGATTGGTAACGATTGACTTACACTCACGTGACGGTTATGTAGCATCGTTACAAAATGTGCTGCTCTCTGGTTGCTACTATTCTTAAACAGTGAAATTATACAGTCTTCTCTCATTAGCTATAATTAGCATAACTTTGCGTCACGTTATATTCTGAGGTATATCTTCACGTGAATGTGCAAGACATAGCGAGTGTGGCGAATCACGAAAATGTGATAAGTGAACATGGGTTTAGTCAGAAATCATTAGGGTCTCTTGTTCTTATGGTTTGGTCTCATTTATCGATTCCTTGTCACTGCTGTTTGACTTTACACGTTTTTATTTTAGTAGATGATGAATGTTCCCCTTGTGAAAAAGTAAATGATGCACTACCCGGAGAAGAGGATTCGAATGAAGTGTGCTTTGTTACCTTGAGACAGCTAACTCTGATGTGTACACTGGACTACGAAGTGTTTCTCATGTAAGACAATGTTTTATCACTTTTGCCGTCCAGGTTCGCTGGTTATTCCGTATCGCAACAGATCGACAAGCACAACATTCTGAACGAAAGACTTTGATACACGCCGACTGCGTATAGGCGGTTCTAATGTGAACCGCGGTAATTATACTGACTGTATTCGACACATATGTGGAAGCGATATACAATGTGACCTCCTTCATGAGTAATAATCGGGTAGCCTCCTAACCAGTGAGAAAACGCAATGAGGTAAGTTAAACTGCAAACGATTAGTGACTAACTATTTTCGATAGGATGAAATTATCGGCACTGAAAATGTCCTGTCTTAGACAGACACACGATGAAAGATGTCGCTCCGAATGTTCAAAACAACAGGCTTGTGTGGAAGATCACCTTTTGGATTAGGAACTTTTTTCTGGTTTTAAAATTCCGTTGGTGCAAGGAAATTGAACCGTGATTTTATCTTCACCATCATCAGTAGCGCTATTCTGACACAAATAGAAATATTTTATCAGCTTACTGGTGGGGTACATCTGGAGTCGGCTATATATCAATGATATGAAATGCATTATTCGATCATCATGCTGCACCTTTGTTGAAAGCGTGAATAGGTTTGGAGTTAGTAGATGAACAGACTAAACACCTGACATGGAGTATACGATCAATTTGTCCTATACCTAGGATCTGCCACTTAACGAAGCGAACATTTCAAGTGTCTCTCTACAGTACAGCAATATATTGAGATTTTACTTTTCTCCCACAACAGGCAGAAGGAGAAACCGATCAATGACAAAAGTGGATGTATATTCGAGAGCACCATCAATTCTCTACACCATATCTAATAAGTCGCAAAAGGGACATAAGAGGCACTATGGTTTATTCGGTTTGTCTGCGTCGAACGGTGAACATCAGTGAAGTAGAAATGATTATTCTTTTAATCAAATATCTCTTCAACATTCTGAACGGACTGACTACCGGTAAAACAAAACCCGTTATAGATACCAATGTGTCAAAAACTTGGTAAATACATTAATATAGTTCGTGTAAATACTGCATTTTTGTGGTACCGCTTGCAGGTATCAAGTAATTCAACCTCAACTGTTGTGCATCCGAAGATAATTATTGAGATCATTTATTTCAGGCGGGCCCTTACCCTAAAACTTAATCCTATACTGCAGTAGCTAGTTGAAGAGTTAGCGAATTGAGATCTGGTTTCAGAACTGTATTCTCTACTCCCATGTCAGCTTTAGGAAAATGACAAGCGAGCTTTAAGGCAATTGTACAAGTTGCTGGTCACATATTCTCACCGTCTTCTTCGTTTCATTGTGAAATGACACACTTGATTTGTACACTTCCATCCATTACAAAAACGCATACCAAAAATTTGAGCCTAAACACGTGGGTCTTCCACTCGGGTTATCCTCATTTCAAGCTTTTTTATCATGTTTGCAGCGTTACCCTTAATTATAGATCTATTCTTGTATTGTTGTCAAAAATATCCAGCATTGTCTGTGCAAATTACTTGTGTTTCCGGATTAATTATCGATTGGTGATTAAAAGCCATCAAACAAAACTAAAGTGAACCATTGTGAAATGATTATGTGATGGGTGAATGCGAAAGGCGAGGTCCAATACATTGATCGAGAATAATCAATGGACAAATGAAAATAAATTCATAATCAATATAACTATATGATAACACGTTTTCAAACCAGAACCAAACCGTAACGATGGTGAAGAACCGAATAGAATTGCATCGACTGGGCATTGCACTTTTCAAATATGTTGCATTCAATCAGTTCTCTCCAACATTTTCATGAAAGCAGGAGGAACATTTATGATCATAGATTATGTTGAATTCAAAAAGTGTGTGATAATTTCATCAGATGTGTACATAAATCCAGATCAGGTTTGTTAAAAGAAAGAGTTAAAGAAGTGACAGGGTCAGGGACAGGCGAACACCCACGGGGAAGGTTAACCAGTCAATACGAAGGCCAAAGGTCACTACTATGAACCGGATTGGTCATAGGGCCAGGGAGTGGAGGCATTGCAGGGTGCAGAGAGGAGTGAGATAGGAGTAGGACACTGACAACTAAAGGGCAGCGTGAGGCTAGCCACGACTTCGGTTTGTTTACATAAATCCGGCTTGTCTAACGGTGGCCGCTTCAGCGACTCGAATTAGATCGCTACCGCTTTGGCGGATCAAAACATGAAATGCGTATCCAGGTTTGACACTATTTGCAATCCAGAATATGTTGGGCAATTGAAATTCGGTGATTACGCTCCTTGCCCCTATGCTCGATCCGGTTCGAATTCGAGATCATCAGTTTTCCTATTGATTGGTACCTCTTCCCTCTGTGTATTTTCATGAACCGTAAAACTCTCATTCGTTTAGCCAAATGTGATCGAATATATGAACATATCAGAAGAGACTAACACAACACAGTGTAACCAATCACACCGTGAAACAGGATACGTCTTCTTGCTCCGGAAGATGTACCAATTACTCTATATTCATCCGACCATCTATGAACCCTAAGTGCGTGCGCGGCTGCATGAAGTTCATGACCTCGTACACCGATAGTTTTCCAATTACCACAAAATTAATTAAAACGCAGAGATCCAATAGTGATTGCAGAGGTTATCAGCTCCATTTGAGAAATCTTCAAGATTTGACAATGTGAAACAGAACAACTGTGTTTCGGTGCATTCACTTTATTGTTATGGGCTAATTGTAAGTCCATTATCCAAATTACCTCTGGCGGTTGTGTCCCTCAGTCGATTCCAATCGCGCATAGCCGGTTTTTGCTTCATGGATGTGAATGTCCATCAACTAAACAGCCTAGCCATGCACACGGGCTCACACACAGGGAACAGGTCCAAACTTGTACTGTAACGGATCGGTCTCGTTTAGCGGATGTTTAACCTGTGAGTGTGGTGAGTGTGAAAATCCGAATGGGATAGTTCACCGTGTAAGCGAAATTTGTCCGGATTCAGAAAAACCTGTGGAGTGTATATATCGCCTCTGTAGGGGCGCTTCGCTTTTTCAGACCGTCTTGCCCCCCCCCCCAATCCCATGATTTCACACACCTTTTATTCCCCTTTGACACTCTTTGAGATCTGATTGGATACGTTTCTGCTAAGTGCACACCCCGATGAGTTTTAGGGTTCCGCAATCAGTATAACACCTTCGATTCTACTGGATTACATATGGTTCTACTTAGAGTGAAAATCCACAGCACACATAACCTTATCAAAGTGATGTCAAATAAGCCTCTATTCATGGTGTAACGGTTATTCAAACATCGTTGCGAATGGCACTAAACAGATTCGATTCGTTATTGCTCACTCCTTGTTCATCGACATTTACATGTTTACAAATGCATTTGGACTGTTGCAGACGGGATTTGACTAAGGACAACCGGCAACAAAGACTATACCGCATCGCAAATTATTGACTGACATGAGCATAAGTGCAAACATGTTTTTGATTCTCGTGCACAATAAATTGCTAATCAACCTCCATGGAAGGGAAAGAAATTCGCAAGCGAAGCATACAACACTAAGCAACACATTTCGAGAAGTGAACACCGAAAAGAATGTATTGCATGCACATGATGGTGATGCTTATTGAAAGGGATCATTTTTGAGGATTGTCGATCCCACCAGCGCTATAGGGTAGCGGTAAATCAATGGGCATATTGGCAGCATCTTTTAGTACAAAGAGGACAGGATTGAGCGAAAACTAAAACCGACAGTTGAGCATATCAATCATGAAGATGCGAGACGTTATGCTGCAATGCATATTCACAACCTGGGGTGTTGAAGAATGTGAAGAAGGCCCCAATACTGAGAACGGAACGTGGAAGTTGTTTGGTTCAAGTGCGGCGTCACTGGCGATCCACGATTGTTTCACGTAATGTCTTCACTAGTGCTCAACTCCCCAGTACCAGTAATGAACTGAGGAGTCTTTTTCCAAGTAACCAGATCGAATTTGATATAATGAAAGTGTTGTGAGATACTTCGCACTTGTGAGTACTAGGTATCTTTCAATGCTCACAAATATAACGAGAACATCGAGGGCCATATGATGTTCCGGAAAGAATAACTACCGACTTTTCCATGCATTATTCGATGTGCTGCCAGGACCGACTATGATATGTTTCTGATAAGTTTTTGTATTGTGCATGCCAAATTACTGACCTGTCATCTGTAATCCGCGATAAACGGATCTTGTCGACCAGTACCGTCATGTTGTATTTTAACACAAGGAATGGTCTCACCAAATTCATAAGAATCATACATTTATGAGTCACTCAAGGTCAGTCGTTAAGCAGTGCAACAGTATGCACGCAGGTTCAGTAACTGCAGTATCCGATACACCACATTTCTCCAAGAGGTTTAGTTCATTTCTGAATGTAAGAATCCACGCATGAATTTCTCTTACGAATGTCAAAGGTCCTACTCCTTGCTATGAGTTAGCCCGTAGTGAATAAAACCTTCCCCACCCCCGTCGAAAAAGAACATTTGATACATTATCCGATTATCGTTTGTGTTTTTGGTCAGAGAACGTCTCTGTCTCCGTTTACG